CGCCTCGTCAGCGGCCACTGTCTGGAGGTACCGCAGCTCACAGTCGCGCCGCTCCCGCGGCCGCACGTCCGCGCCATTGAGCAGCGTCAGCCCGCCCACCCGCGCAACGATCTGCGGCCGGCGTGTGTGTGTGTGTGCGCGTGTGTGTGCGCAGGTGTGTGTGTGTGTGTGTGAGTGTGTTCAGGCATGCCAAAGAAGCTGGCGCAACGGCGGCCCGGCCGCAGGAAGGTGCGGGGCAGGGCGCGCTGCAGGGTTCCGCTCATAAAACCTCAAAATGACACCCCCGGTAGCGCGTGCGACTCTGCCGCCCTCCTGGCGGCAAACCCGCCGCCCGCCAAACTCACCCCACGCTCGGCCCAAGAAGGTCGCGCGGCGGCGCACCGCGCCCCGCCCCCAAACGCCCCGATGGCCAGCCCCCACAGGCCGCACCTCGAAGCGCCCGCCGCTCTTCGCCTCCTCAACCAGTGGGTTGCCGCTCAGCCTTAGCTCCCGCAGACGGGGCAGCTTGTCGAGCTCGTCCACGTCCCGCCAGCTGGCTACCCGGCAGCTTCCCAGCAGCAGCGCCTCCAGGGCAGGGAACGCTTGCCCACACTCCTGCTGCTGCTGCTGCTGCTGCTGCTGCTGCTGCTGCTGCTGCTGCTGCTGATCAGTATACAGTGGCGGCTGCTGCCCCCGCAGCGGCTGCTCCGGCTGTTGCCGCTGCGGCTGGGGTGAGCAGGCAGCCGCCGACGGCGCTGCATTTGGGCACCAGATGCGAGCTATGGGGTTGCCGCTGAGGTTCAGGCGCTGCAGGCGCGGCAGCCAGGCGAGGCGCAGCACCTCCCACCAGGTGCTGATTCCGTTGTCCTCCAGTCCCAACACCTGGCATGGTTTTGGCAGGCAGGCGGCGACAGGGGCCGCAGGACGAGAGGGCAGCTTGCGTGGGTGCATCGCATTGGATGGATGCAATAGTCAACAGCATGACACGTCACCGCTCCAAGCCTGGAAGTGGCATTCATGCTTCCAGGTGTCCTGGCGCAGTTGCAGGTGCCTGTTTGGCACGCGCGTCATGCGCGCAACTTGCAGAGCCCGCTCACCCCAGCTGACAACCCTCTGCCCGCCGCTCAAACCAGCGCGCACCTCCAGGCTCTGCAGCGCTTGCAGCGGCGGCGGGGCGCCCCCCTCTGCTTCGCCGTCCGCCCTGCCATGCCCGCCGAGCGCCGCTGCCGCCGACGCCTGGAGGTCGCCCTCAGGCTGTTCGCCGCCGCGGCACGCGCCTTCCGCGTCCAGGCTGGCGATGCCGTTGCCAGCTACATGGAGCTCGGCCAGCCCCGGCAGCGACGCGTGCAGCGCGCACACATCCCGCCACCCGACCCCGCAGCCGTTCAGCACCAGCGCCCGCAGGCCCTCCAGCCGCGGCGGCGGGGGCGCGCCGCCCGGCTGCCGCAGGCGCAGGCGGTTGGCGCTGAGGTTGAGGGTGGCGAGGCGGGGGAGGGCGGCGAGCAGTGCGGCCGGCTCGTCCCAGCGCCAGAGCAGGTTGCCCGTCAGGTCCAGCTCCTCCAGCTGTGGCAGCGTGGCGCGCAGCTCCTCGGCTGCGTCCTACGTGCGGGGGTCGGCGAACCTGTTGAGAGCCTGGCGCCGTGCCAGACAACGGCGACGCAGCATGGTGGCGCGACCCATTGCTCATGTTCCTGCCGCCGTTTGGAGGGGCCTGATGTCGTGTACTCTGGAAGGGAGCAGCGCGGTGCCGCGAGCAAACCAGACTTGCACGGCTCGCCGGCCCTCGCGCGCTTCCACACAGGCCGCCGCCGCGCGCTCACCACGGCAGAGACGCACGCGTCGACGACGCGCGCCCGCGTCAGCAGCTCCGTGCGCCGCTGGCGCTCGGTGACCTGCTCCTCGCCCACCAGCTCCACCAGCACCCGCCTGCTGGACTTGGTGTCCAGGTACACGGCGCGGCCCGCGCCTGCGGCGCTGCCCTCTGCCGCCTCATTGTTGTAGCGCGCGCGTAGCGCGGTCAGCAGCGGGACGCCGGCGTGCACCTTTTCGGCGCGTATGAAGGACCCGGCCGTGGGGCCCGATGTCACCGAGAAGTATCGCCTGCCTCCAGTGGACCCGTCGTGCTTGCCCCTCGACGCATCGTCCCACTCTACTCCGACCCAGCTCCCCTGCTGCCCCTCCACAGGGCCAAGATAGCGAACCGTGGCCTTGTCACGATCCTTGCCTATCACTACGCGGGCACCTACTTCGAGCGCTGCCCCGGAGATGGGCCCCGCCATTTTTGATCTGCTGCGTGAAGCGTGATCTGTCCCCGGCGTTTATACTCGGTGCCTGGTACATGCAACTCCACACAAATTTAAAACCAATTGATCTACAGTATATGATAAAGGTAAACGGGCTGTCACTTGGCGCTCGTCGCAGCTGGCCCGCCGCCCCCAGCAGCCCGCTTGAATGGGCTTCGGCCTGTCAACTGCACATAGCTGCTGGCGTACAGTGTCACCTGCAGAGGGTGGGGCCAGAGAGCCTCTGTGTGATGCCGGCCATTGATGTGTGTGTCGCAGACAAGCCGCCGTGCCCTCGACGGACACAAAGCTCGACCTTGCGGACAGTCCGCTCACCCCAACACAGCGGGTGACAACACAGCCAAGCTGTAGCTCACATCTGACTGGTTGGCGTAGTGCACGAACATGGGGTCGTCCTTCAGCTGCGGTACACTGGCGGCATAGAAGCCGTACTGCGCAAGGACAGGCGTTGCACGCGAATATCAGACTCGCACACTCCCGCAGGAAGCACCCCACTTGGCATGACTGTTGGACTCAGGTTCAGACGATTCCGGTGCGGCAGCCAGCGGCGCCAACCAGCAAGCAGGAGCATCATTCCTGTCTGATTTGATGTGCTGCCACCTCCATCAGTTCGGCGTGTGCCACGCCCAGGCTCAGTCGCATGCTGCATCTGCTGCTGCTGCATCTGCTGCTGCTGCTGCTGCTGCTGCTGCTGCTGCTGCTGCTGCTGCTGCTTACCTCCATGTTGGCGGTCACCGGCAGTTGATACACCTGTGTAGGCACCTGTAATGGTGGGCGCAGCCGTGTCAGCCATTATCACAGCATCCAAGTGGGGGGTATGAGACCAAATGTAGCCGGCAAAAGCTGTGCTGCTGGCTGTGACCAGCAGCATGAAAAAGCAATTTTGCATACCCTCTTGCGATGCCACGTCCCCTCCTGCTCCAGTAGCCATCAAGACAATTCACCGTGTTGCCAGCACATACCCTCACCCAGCCACCCACCTGGTGCGCGTGCTTGATGCCGGCGAGGCTGGACAGCGTCTGCTCGGCGCGCGAGAGCTGCTCCTCTGTGGGGCGGTCCGCGGGCCTCGTCGCGTTGGGCTTCTGGGGCAGCAGCACCATGCGGCGCGGGTCAGGCACGCTGAACACCTCTGAAAGGTGGCTGCGGCGCTCCTCTTTGCGGATCAGCTGGGAGTGTTGGGGTGGGAGGTATAGGAGGGGCGGTTGCGCAGACGTAAGCATGTTGAGACAGCGAAGGCAGGCACGGTTGTCCGAGGAGATTGGCTGTAGTAGCGTACCGCCGCGATCGCCTCAACCATTTGCGGTGTCGAAGACATTTCCGCCACTGTGCTTTACAGTACCTGTGCTCACCTCCGTCAGGATCTGGTCCCTCTCCACAGGGTTGAATTTCTTGGAGACCTGCGCCATGGCGTTGTCCTGCACCTACCGATGCTCACTGCTGGTTGCTGCCTGGTTCTCCTGCTTGATCGTGGCTGTGAGATGCATGGCGCAGCAGGTTTTAAGATAAGTTGAACATTCACAGTTGCTTTTACAATGACGCCTGGGTGTGTCCTTTCTCACTACGCAGTGTTTGGTGCAAGCAGCGGGCGCGCGCACAGGTGCAGTCTCACGGATGTGCGCGCACAGCCGCGCCCTGAGTGCGACAAGCCCGCACGCAACTCATGTCAACATCAAGCGCGGCTGTTCAAATATCAAACCGACCGGCATCAGGATGAGGAGCCCTCACCTCCACGCTTTCATGCGTCCCGAAAGCGAAAGACGGTTTCACGCTTTCACACGGTGTCAGAGTGTTTATTCATTCGTTGTTTCAGAACCTCGGCTATTACAATCCCGCTTTCTCTTGGTAAGGTCTAGCACGCGCCTCCATCACTGCCCCTGTGCATTATGGTATGTGCAGCAGGTGGAGTGCGTGCCGTGCTCTTTTGGTCAATTGACATGCAGTGCAAGTCATTGAACTCAAAGTGGCGTTCATGATTTTACTGCACAGCCCCGAACCACACAGAAATACAACTTGGGCACTGGAGAGCTTGACCCCAGTGACTCAACGCACAGCGTGTTTAAAAGTTGGTCAACGCGCCCCTCACACCCCGACTTGTTGCCTCAGCCACTGCTGCCGCGCCTCCATGAACCGCGCGAGCGAGCAGCTGCCGCCGTCTCCTTCCGCGCCAGCTGACGCCGCCGCCTGAAACAACTCGTTAAATTCTCCCTCGCTGCTGAACGTGACGCCCGCCGCGACGGCCAGGGCGGCGATGCCCTCGCGCCCGCGCTGCGCCTGCAGCTGCTGCTCGGTCACCCCGATCTCGGCCCAGTGCGGCGGGGCGAGAAGCTGCCGCACCGAGCTCGTCATGCAGCTAGACTTGCCCCCAATCCCGCCGTTGGCAGGCGCATGCGCTGGTTTGTATGACGCGATGCCAGCAGCGGCGCGCCAGCCCTCGCGCAGGCTCTTCCCGAGGTCTGCGTCGGGTTCCTGCTCTTGCTGGGAGTAGCCGCACCGTATGAGCTCCCCGACGCACGGCTCGCCCTCGCGCGCCGAGGGCGCGCCGAAGGTGTGGCCCTCGGACAGCCCGCGGTCGCCGCCGCCGAGGAGCTTGTGGCGGCCGAGCGCGTCGCCGTGGGTCAGCTGGTGGTCGCGCATCAGCTTGGTCACGATGGCTGGCGTGTGCTGTGAACAGCAATCGTGTGAACAGCATACCAGTCAGCGTGAGGGTCGAGTGGATGTACAGACTTCAGTGCCGTGCAGGGGTAGGATACCCACTGACGCGCCGTGTGCAGACCACCATACCGCGTGCTGATGGGCAAACGAGCGGTCCTTGGAGGGCCACCCTCAGGGTGCGCAGCCAAACGGCGGGAGTGCTTGGCCATTTCAACGCCACCATACAGCCGCGTGATGCATCCACAAACGCACGCACGCATGCACACACACACACACACACATACACATACACATACACATACACACGCACACGAATAAACACACCTGCACGCCTTCATCCAGCTCAGGCTGAAGAATCTGCTTCATGGTCGCCCTCGCCTCCGCCGCACGCCGCCGGCCGGCTTCTGCCCCCGACAATCCAAAGCGGTGCGTGGCGGGGTCCACGCCGCCGCCACCAGCAGCGAGAGACCAGTCATATTCACGCTTGCGCTGCTCGCCTGCATTTTACGGAGAACGAGGGATAAATACAGTGAGCGGGCGTGCATGCCCTGCTCACGCAGCCACGCACTTGCGAAAGAATGCCGACAGGCATTTAGAGGAGACCGGCAATGGACTAGCCTCAACTGCCTCGGTGACGTCAGGGCGCTTAACAGCTGCCGTCTGTTATCGCTCTACCTGGCGCGTAGCTGCCGTGTGTGCGCGTGTACATGCGCGCCGAGGCCGCGTCTTCGTCGCGCGATGCTGGGAAGATGAGGCTCTTGGTTGAGTTGAGCCGCTCCTGCTCTCGCACGTGGAGTGAAACGCCAAACGGCTCCTGGGTGCCGAGGCCGTCGGGCAGGTGGTAGCCGCGCGAGGGGACAGCCCCCAGCGGCTCTTGCTTGTGGCTGAAGGGGGAGGGGGCGCGAGGAGAAGGTGCCGCCAGGGTTGGGTGGGCAGCACCACCCTGTTAGTGTGTGTGTGTGTGTGTGCGCGCGTGCGTGCATGTGTGTGTGTGTGTGTGTGTGAGTGTGTGTGCGT